GTAGACGGAGCCTGAGTCAATTCATAAGTGCTGCAAAATCAAGTTTGAAAATTCAAGTATCGAATCCGTGTGATAGGTCTGAGAGAAACGAAACTTGTGGGAAAAACTTATTCTGGTTTACGAGTGATGGTGAACTCAGTGACTGTGTAACAGAAGATTTTCATTCGGACTGATGGGTTGCCGCCGAACCAATCCAATAACCCGAACTGGACCTCCGTACGCTCATACGATTTCGTGAAACTTCGATTGTGACCTCACATCACAACAGACGTGCAATAGATGGGCGCAAAAAACAAAAGGTCAGCGAAAAAATCATCTAGGCATTTGCGGAAAATTTGGTTCAAAAATACTATATGGTGAGATAATGTAAGACCATTTGGCGATGCTTATGACATGGGATAAGACAGATTTTGCAGCGTAAAATGGGGTACGAAAGTGCAAAATGCTCATGTGAAAATAAGATTTGAGAGTGTGAATCCAAAGGGGATAATTAATTACAGATTTCATTGTCCGCTAACCAGTGAGCGATGCAAACAGTCTGCAGATATCTACCACAAACTCTGTGGTGTCATACAGATGAACATGCAAGATCACGTATGCAGTTAGAACAGGTGGGCATCAAGCTTTTCTGTTATCTATATCTCGCCAAAAATTTGCTCTTACGAGGCAACAAAGCACCCAAACCCGTTTCCCCTAAGCATATATTGAACGCAACATTTTGTAACCGCACACCGACCACCTCCTAATTCTATACCGTCAGGTTGAGACTGGACTCATTAATCTGACGGAAGCCGCCTCTGATACTCGCGTCACACCGAATTAATTCATTCTAAGTGACATAGTTTACATTTTGGCTCTACTTAGAGAGCTACAGACGTATAAAGTACTAGACCATATGTAGCGCACTTCACAAACCAATCGCGTGCTCATTTGCAGATAGCATTTCAAGTGAGCCATTTTATTACTTCACACATACTTCATATGTCAAACTCAGCTCTTCAAAGCGATAAAACGCATTGCGGGAAATCGCTTAATTTTGGGCAAGATCTGGCACAATTACATAACGTCCGACATCCTGAGTTGTGCGAGCCCCCACTTGAGAAATGTGATCAGCAATTTTCAGTACTCTTTGGAACATCGTGTTTTACACAAACAACCAAGTGGCCATTTTACAATGGACTTGTTTTGAAAATGGTCCAGTGATTAAGTTTTAAGTGTGATAATTTGTTAAATGGAGGCATTTTATTTGACCATCCCAATTTTGCTTTTTTTTGTTTCCGCAGTGCTGTCGAAAGCTGGTTCAGGCGCCACATTTATTACACGTATGGAGTGTTTCCTCCTTCGAATGTGAAACAAGTACAACCTTACACAAAGGTAACTGTATGTCACCGATTTGATACTACGCAGTTGTACAAAGGCAGCTGCTAACGTTTTGGGTACTCTACTTTCCAGATTATTTGGGCGGGAACAAAGGAAGTCGGTTGCCACCAAGTCTACTGCCCACAAACTATGATTGAATGGCGCATGGAAAATGCGCAATACGTCACTGTCTGTCTATACTGGCCGTCGTGAGTGCGACTTCCTAAACATTTATCCTTCATACTTGTTGTAAAATACTTTTAAGGACTTTTAACTGCTCTTTGACATTGTAACCGCCATTTTGTAGACCCAATATACCGGGAGAAAAGCCGTATGAAATTTCAAACCCGGGGGGAGAAGGTGAGCTCAACTGGTTTATCTTTGCTTTGGGATATGCGTACGCACATATATCTTAGTGATTAGGAGCAATAGTAATGACTTTTTAGCACAAACACCATATAGGTTAGCTTGAGAATGAACGCTCCCATGAATCAGTTGATGAAGTGGCATCAGTAAAAGCTTTGGTTGTCGTCATAGCCGGAACGACATCAGTATTCAACAGTGATACTTCGCTACCTTGTGTTTATGATTTATTTGAAAGCCTCATTCTGAAAAGAGACATAAGGTGGAACGGGAATGCAATTGGTGCCAGGTTACTGCAACCATTCTGAGGTCCCTACAACTCCAGATACTCATTCAATCAATCTGGATACAAACTGACAAGGAGTAGCAACCATATCATTGAGCGTCTCCAAACAGGCGCAATGAGGATCAGGTAGTCCCCAAACTTAAAGGCGTGGAGAGCCCAAGTGTTTCATGTCCCTTTAAAAGGTCATCGGTGTTCCATCTCTTTGAATACTTCATTCTGAATTAGGCAAAGAAAACGCCATTCTCTTTAGCATACGGTGGCTCGGAATACGCAGTACATGGCCTCTCCAACGGAGCTTCTGGCCACACTCTTCAATAAAAAAATTTCTGTTGCTCGTTTACTAAAACCTCGTTAAGGATTCCTCGAAACCAAACCACATAAGCTATGGTCCTGAGACAGCGATTGTCGGACAGCTGATGACGTCTCATTTCCGCTGCTTGAACAGGTCAGTTCTCACAACCACACAACAAAATAGCCCGCAGTGTAGCCTGATAAGCACGCCACCTGATATACCACTGTGACACGATGGGTATTTCAAATTACCACACGCGACCCGACAGCCACATTACGATCAGAACTAATACAACTTCCCAGATATGTAAAACGCTTCACAACTTCGAGTGCCTCCCCCTGGATTGCGTGTCGACGAGCACAACCTTGCATCATGTGGGTGCAAAGTGCATACCAAAAGACGGGATGTCTTTGATCGGTTCATTCAAAAACACCTGCGACCTCTCCTCTTCTTAAAAGACGAGAGCGATGTCAGTTGCATATTTGAGATTGACAAGGTTTTTATCACAAGTTATTTGAACACCGGTGTTTTGAAGACCATCTAGTGTTAATCTCATTACCTTGTTAACCACAAAACTAAAAACGAATGGAGAGTCAGCAGTCCTGACGGACATACTCTCACAATTCCGAATGCGAACAATTGCTTATCTTCACAAAGTTCCGGGGGTATTCCTTGATGGGGAAGCGTGTCAAGGATAATAGACTGGTCAGCCGAGTTGAAGGCACCAGAAATACTGCAGAGAGCATCGCATTAAATCCGGTACTACCGTCAGAAGTGCATCATTTGAGTGACGTAAAAATTAACACATAACTGTACATAAAACAACCTGAAAACAACTACGCAAAATCGACGCAGATTACCGTGGCTTGCTCTGGATGCTTGTAATTGATTTCCAAGCAACCTTGATCACACCGGTTTAATGCACTGTAAAATATCATCTAATAGAGTGGGGGAACGTGTCTACTAGAATCGTACTCTTGAACGTCTGGCTACTTAATCTGCCATTGTTCACGTATTCCGCCAGTTCTAGATACCGGTTTGATTAAAACACATACAGCTTTAAGAAATTTCACCAAAACGAGCCATCCGATATTTTCTAACATACCCTTTTAACCAAATTAGTCTGAGTTTGGCAGATCTTTCAGTACCGTACTCCTGAGGAGCAGATGACTACTATTGGTGTAACGGTGATACTGTTGACGGGGAGGCACGCGAGCAGTATGTGTTGTTCGTGGAATTTTGCTTTGTGTCTTTTGAAAAGGGAGATCTGTTGCGGAATTTGTGGAACCACTTTGTAACGTTTGCTTGGATTTGAGCGATGAATGATTGAAGTCAATGAATATCCAGGAAAGTTCAAGAAGACACGTTCAGGAGAAGATGGATATCCAGTTTTTGTAAATGAGATGCAAATGAGAGTTTTGCTTCCCTGTCCAATGGTCTGTAACCGCTCAGTTGGCATTTTCTAATAAATAACTCCGCTGCAATGGCCTACCTCCTTTCACTACTGGTAGTCGAGAAAACGGAATGAAGAACTTCGTATTCGTCCTTGAGCGGCCTCTCTCTCGAACCTGGTGAAAGTGCCCTATCCGGGTTTTTAACTGAATGCAGCTCATCACTAATGCAAACGTATGGAGGGAGTCGGGATGAGGTAGCGATGCGTGAGGGACCAACAATGCACGAGAACCCTATTCAAACACTTACCAAATCAGCGAGGAAGTGCTGATATCTGTAGAGGCTTTATTTTTTCAGTTTTAGCGCATAATTTTGAAGTAAATGTTCTTGTGTCAAAGGTGTCAAAGGGATATCCGCATTGTCTTTTATTCCACGGGCTATTGATGTCAGCTTCCCGTTTGTTACTCAAGAATGAATATGGACTTTCCAGCGGCACATGTGTTTTTTGAGGTATCCTTGTTCTCTCTACAAGTCAGATCTCCCCTCAAACGGTTCTGGTGTTGAATGTTACCATCATAAGACATTACTCCTCATAAACTCTTTCCCTTATTAGCACTTGACATTCGCCTTTATTTTTCTCGTTAAACGGTTAAAGCCGGTGAGGGAATTTATCTATCCAAAGAGCTTGAATACCGAATCTTTTTCACTCATTGTTTTAAGGCACCTAGGGAACACTTGATGTCCTCCTCAGAACTGTAATTTTGCCTTCCCTGAACCATCGACACTGTCCCTTAGGTTTGTTTATACATCTGTATTCCATCAGCAATCCTTCTGCGCACACACTCGCTGATAACTCATATCCCATTACACTCTGATCAAGAACCCTATTGCTACGGTATTTTTATGACATTTTGGGCTTTTTAAGGAATTCCTTCAATCCGTACATCAATCTAAACCTGTGGCATATGCTTGATATGTGTAAGCATTTTTTACATATACCAACACACCCGCCAAATATAGAGATTTTTCGGTCTCTGTCGTGCGAATTCTCGCGTCTCTGATTTAGAACTCACAACATACCTCATCTATCCTGAAATATATATACCCTCTTTATGATGGCTGGAATGATTCAACTGGGCCAAGTACTGGGGTCACCACTATGAGTAGATACTACTGATTCGTCGGACTGAAATGACCATAAAAGTTATTTTTTTATTATTTTATTTTTTATTATTTTTTCCAGATAGCTCGACTCACTCACGTGATCCTAGATTAACATATTTGGACAGACATAATACGTACAGGGTCATGATTCTCGAAGGCAAAGTCCCTGGCCAACCACAAGCTTTGTCGATGCCCAATTTGGTAAGTTCTTACAAAGCTATCAATTATAAAAGTGACTTATGCGAAATCTTTGATTGTTCCAACTGGTTTGTGTTTTCCACTGTTTTGCAGTTGATATTTGCTAGTCCTGTTTTAACAGTGAAACCACAGCTAGCTTCCCTTCCAAATCCCCTTGTTCATTCTCTAATTTCACGATGGCTACCTAAGAAAGATCGTTGGGAGCATAACGGAATTTTCAGTGTGAATCCTGTGGCAAGCTCGATAGGACCATGAAGATATCATTACAGGGTGTACTGAATTCGAACAGTTCGCTTTATCATCTTAAGTGTTTACATGCACTACGATTTGAGGTGAAGTCTGGGACAGTCCATCACCAAGTGGTGTATCTTGTAGCCCGCAAGCGACGCAGTGCTTGCTCTGAATTTCCTATCGAATGCGAACGTTCCTTCAGAGGTGTGTCAAATTATGATGATCTTTGGAAGTTGAAAAGCTTGTTTCACAAGAACGTTTTTCAACTCCATCCAAAACCCCCGGTCCAGAAAACCAACTGGAACAATGAGAACGGCTATAGCCCATAACCTTGGTAGTTATATTAATCAGGCGAACAGAGCTGTAAAAGTAGTCATCTGGGGCTGTGTTTCTTACTCCTGTTTATCTGGGGCTCACTTTCTAAGTATGCAGTTCGGACGCATAGATGACGCTTTCCTAATATCGCTTGCAAGGTAGGTGATCAGCTGAAAGGCGCTGGCCCATAGTCATTTTATCCGAAAGTGTTGACAATGACTCAGGATTTTAGCAAAATTTGAAAAACACAAGTCCAGTGCCAGGGGTTCGCGATTTCATCACAAATGGAAACATCAAAAACAAGAGATTTAGCTTGGTTCTGGGTGAGTCTCTCGCAAAACCAAATCTGTTTGACAGAACTTCATCAATTTCATAAAAATAAAAGTACATAGCAATAAAGTTAGAATAAAAGAAAAAACTGCAATGATAAATTGTTTCCATATGCCTAGTGAGGAGAACTTGGGGTGTTGGGCAATATGCGACGTTGTGCTTTGGGTAGACTTATTTCTTAAAGCCTTTAGATTCCGTAAAAATACACCCTACCCCAAATTAGTGTCCAGATGTCACGCTTCAAGTTCACGCACTTTGCTGTATATTTTGCTTTGAAGTTGCGCGCTAACAGTTCCACTTGACTCATACATCGTTCCGAAGACGATCCATGTTAAATGTAACAAACTGTAACTCTTTGTTCTCAACTGATGTGAATTGTTTCGCTATTGACTGTTTGATTGTGACAGTCAGTCGGTTGATTCTAGTGTCTCAACAATCATATTTTCGTTGGAATTCTTTTCAGACATGGAGTGATAGTCTAGAGCAAGAAGCAAGGCGTCAAGCGGAAATGTGCGAATCAGCTGCGAAATGGTTGCCCGGGGAGGTACGAGCAGTATCCAGAGTGGGCGAACTTGAGTAAGCAAGCATTTTATTCCGACTGCCCGGTTTCTTCTTAAATGCGAATCGTGTATGCGAAAGAAAGCTCCTGCTAAGAAAGATTATAATGCGGGAAACGTATTTCCGACAGGAGCACAAAGATGGTTTGATGAACAGGTATTAAAATGCCGTGACTTGTTGCATTGGTGTAGAAAAATGACACAGTATTTTAACTATTGTCGTAAATAAGTGTATAAAATTAACGCGCAATACAGAACAACGAGAACACCGTGGGATTAAACTCTGGTGCAGACATTTCCCTAGTCTAGCACCCAGATTAAACGTTAATTTCGACTGTAGTATCGAAGTTTCAGATGGAGTTAACCATGATCGGTTGAATTGTGCGCGCAACCAAAATGCAGCACGAATGCTACTCAGTAATTGAACATATTTATAACTGGATATATTGACTAAGCAAGATCCATTTTCTTCAAGACCGGTAAAGCTGCATGCATATTAGACTGTTTACGTTTCATAAATTTCGAAAAACTCTCCAACTTACAGCGAGTTGGACGATATAGTATACTGATGTTGTGCTGACTTGCTACATTTTAGCGCACGAGAGTATAAGTTGAAAGGCGCTAAACGGCGCCCGATTCTTCGTTTTGTCTTAATAATACTCTCAAGGGCCGGCATTCGATGTAAAAAAACATGTTTATAGTTACGAAAACAACGACCCCATGATATGCGTAATTTTAAAAGCAACAAGAGTGAGTGAAAAAAATAAATACATCGCTTTTATTTTGCGTAGGCCAGAATGTAATTATATACACTTTTTCTGCGGAAGTCTTCAACCATTACATGCACAGTGTGGTAGAATTGAGCACTTTGTTGGATCAAGTCTTCGTGAATAGAGCCGGCAAAATAAAGCATATTGGCTCTCCCTTGCTCCAACTTCCAGACGACGTTCTTTGGTATCTGAGTGATAAGTAAAAGTAAACGCCAGCAGTGACCAAAGCTGTTGTGTTTTCTCAAATATGACCTTGAGGATTTTTATACTGAAGCATGGTTATCGTTATTCCCATATCATCTTAGATTTCTAAACAATGTTTTTGAGGAATTAATTAGCAGAATGAGAAATTTAGGACACATGATCTCGGTTATTTGACCCTATTCTGATGCATGCAGTTGTGCGCTTCGCAACGGCGCCATTCATGGGTTATATCCAGACCTGGTCCCCAGTAAAGGTGATTGATTTTCGTCTTTTCGAACTACACAGTAGGAGGGCTGATCGGGCACAATGAAACCACAAAACCATGCGTGATGGTGATGGTACAAACAAAGCGCATTGCTTGATCTGTAAGCCAGAACTTCGAGCAGGCGTCTAACTGTCACATTTGCGTCGGTCTTCGTGGCTGAATTCAGTCTCAACACTGTGACATGTAAGCCAACCAACCAAAGTAACAATTGTCGGATCACATCAAGTCAAACAGAGAGGATCCCTTTGCTCTCCGGTGAACACTCAGAGGAAGAAGCTACAGTACAAAAACTAAACTTGTAAAATTATGGAAAGAATGAAAAAGATTAGGAAAGTTGTTGTATGAGGGACATGAATGAACGTATACATATGAGTGACGTAGTCAGCAGACGTAAACTCGGAGCTCTCATCAACATGGTGCCGTTAGTTGGTCTTCGGGATGAAGTTCTAAAAAAATACCCCTCGGCATGACAATGTGACAGTTGCATGTCGTGATACTACTCAGCATCTGAAAGAAGGCTTTGTAGATGACACAATGAGAGGCCTTTATCCAACAATCCGCGGATCAGAATCCGGAGAACGGTTAATCAAATGTAGCAGGTCACATGAACTCTAAACATCCGCGTTGGCAGTTTTCTGGTTTAGCAGTGTCGAATGACAATCTTGTGAATACGTTGAAATAAGAATGGACATGGGTGGACGTTAAGGGCTATTTGGTACGCCCATTTCCCATACCTCAATTTAAAGAGCGGATGAAAACTGTAGCTTGCTGGTAACAGGAAAACTGTCTTGGACAAAAGCAAATCCTGTACTTCTATACTTTATGAGATTGTCTGGCAGAAAATTTCCGGCAAGGTCTGACCTTCAACATGTCACATGTGTTGTCAAGAACGTCATCTCCAAATTTCCTGCACCGGATGGAAAAACCCTGAATTGAAATTTTACTTATTTACTAAAAATTAACCCATGAGGGATACTCGTACATCCAAGGTCCTCATGAAAATCTCTTCTGCTACTAATCCTTCGTTGTAGCACACTAAAAGCAAGTCAGAAACACTGTCATTAGGAATAAACTTCTTAAGGGAATCCGTTCATCGCCGTGGTCCAGGTTACCACGTAGCTCTTAGAAGTATAATTTTTCAATTTTTATGGATCCTAGGCGCGTTTATTCCTTTTTTCTGCGCAATCTTACTGTCTGTTTTATCCGAAGCATTTAAGAATGCATATCGAAAATCTATCAGCTATGTTATTAGACCTTTGACTTTAACATTAGACTCATCATTTTTTAGCTCTGAATTGGCCGATAAACTGATAAGGTAGAATGAGCCAAGATTTGTCTCTAATCATCTCGGACTCTTTTTGTCTGGAAAGAGCATGTCGCCACAGGTCCAAATACGTGGTAGCGAATATGAGGACACGTAAAGTGAGGAGTCGGTGCTTAGAGGGCAACAACAGTGAGGAAGAATAATACAAAAGAAAAGAATTAGAGCATCCAGCTGGATGTTCCTGAGGCAAGCTTTGTATTCACAAAGCAAAAATCCGTACAGAAATATAGCAGAATCAGATCGTAGTCACTCAGCTTCATACCTTCGTCGGAAGTAGGCAACTAGCATTCCTCTAGTATTACATCATCAGAATGACTTGTTCCGCTTTGTCAGGCACTTCATCTAGGTTGTTCGCAATCCACTGGACATTCAGTGCAAACCTTCGACTTCGCTGGTATTATGTCGTGGATTATCCGTAAGACTAATTTCAGCCCACGATTAAGATACTCCCTATACCTGTGCACTGTGCATAAGTGCTCTTTTATAAACCTTTTGAGATTCCTAAAATAACAATTATGAATAAGTTTTCGGAAAAGTTTACGGAAAATAGCTGTGTTTATCACCGGACAACGTTTCTCTTCTGACGCAAAGGTTAGTCAGAGCAAATGACTAGGTAACAAAGTTGGTTGAGATTTAAGGCGGTAGAAGAACTAATCAGCTATGTCAAGTTAAATCTGTGTTAGGTACCGACTAGAGGATTTTGTGTATTAGGGTTTGTTCGCTAAGTATAGAGTCGATGAGGTCTAGTTCTTCCGGTTCGGTTCACGTGATGATTCCTATTGAACGCCGTTTACACTTTCCGTCCTTCCGTCTGTGTGGATGAGCTAATGCTACGATAGTAGTGTGAGCAAATGGGATTCTGTGAACTTTGGTCGGGTTGGGATTTCCACCCTATGTTTTCGCTAATGATTCTGCCTGCATTGACAATCACACTGTCACGTGTCAACTCGTCAACCGCTTCCCGTACGCTCATCGAATCCACACCCCCGCTCCTGTTCAAGCAGCGATTCCCTATCAGCTGATGTGGTGTAAATCGCAGTCGTCGTCCTAAATCTTCCACATTCCCCAGATCTATTCTATGTCCCATGTCTAAGACACGCATCACCATCGCTGTGTATTTGACCAGCGTTTGGTATTCTTTCGTATTCCTTGGTGGTTTGTTTATCCCTCTTCTACGCTCACCAGTTCAGACGTGCTATACCCTGGCAGTGTGTCCTATGAAAACCTTAGTGCGATGGTTGCAGTTAATTTTATACTCACATTACCTAGTCCTTTCAACCGGGAGGATTTAATTGCAACAAAACTGAGCGTAACGTTTTTCCCTTCTGGAAATCTACTCTAATTTTGGCTCATTTCAGCGGTCTTCGAATAACCTCCGGCGTTCCTGCTTTATATGCGATGACTGCAGTGCCAATTCATTCCTTTCTGGGTTCAGATAGGGGACCCAGTTTCCTTTTTTACTTCCTCCTAAAGCAACTCACTGAGTAACAAACTCTTCAAGCCTGTTGGCAATCTCGATTTTATCTCTCCTGTACACAGTGCTCTGATTCGACTAAACACTGATGAAACAACACTGGCGTACATGAAGTTTTAGTTTTCTGATGAGTAGTTTAAGAAGGGTCTTGTGTTTGTCGGTTTCTGGGTTAAAATTTCAACTCGACCAAAGTTCACAGAATCCCTACCTCGGTACATGCTCATCCGCACAAACGGATGGAAAGTACAAACGACGCTCAAGAGGGATCGTCACGTGAACCGAGCCGGAAGAACTATACCCTAAGCTGGACGCATGTCCCCCCATCGGCCTAACTCTTGGTGACACAAAATCCTTTGGTCGAAACCTAAAACAGAATTAGCTGATTAGTTCTCCTTCCGCCTTAAATCTCGACTAACCTTGTGACCTAGTCATTTGCTCTGACGAAGCTTTTGTGTCAGAAGTGAAACGTTGCTCCTAACTTTCCCGAAACTCATTCATTTCCAAGCGTTTTACTGCTGACTGAATTACGAAGAAGCTCTCGTCATTAACTTTTCGAAGAATGATATCGGGGAATATGCAAACGCTGAATTCACAATAGTTTGTGCTCATAGTGTCATAATAAGCAAGTCGTAATGGGGCTTAACTGTAAAGCGAAACTTTGTCCCCAAAACTGGCTCCCATAAATAGGATCTGGCAGAATGAGGTCAAAATTGAGGTGCAGACTATCGTCAGCGGACAGTGCGGACGCTACAAGTGGAAAAACCAAGTAATCCTATATTGGTGACATTCATCTTCACAGACTAAACACTTGAGAAACCACGGTCGTCTAAGTGATAATTGAATCTGCGAATTAATTTTTGCATCATTTTCCAAATGTATTTATGTTCAGCACACTTTACTGCCACCAGAACTACTAACGTCTTTGTTCATTTTCACCATACCCGCAGCGTTGTCAAGCACTGGTTTGATCAGCATACCCAATACGCATATGCCCGATTTCCCACGGAACGGTCTGCCCAGGTTTTCGGCTACACACAGGTACGCTAGTTGTTCAGGTGGAAGGACATACAAAATGTGACCAAGCTGACTATCGATCTTTCTCAATTACAGCTTGTTTGGGCTAATACTCGGCAGGTTGGATGTTACCAAGCCTACTGTCAGAATTTTCGGACACGCCTTAACTGGGAAACAAGAATTTACAACACAGTTTGTCGGTACTGGCCAGCGTAAGTACAGTGTCTATCTTTAATTTCAAACATATCAACAGAATTCAGCTCAGTTCATGAGACAAAATGGAACCAGTTTGCCATTCCGCATTTCCCTTGTTTGTTTCAGCGGCAATGTGGACAGAGAGTTTCCATACCAAGGTAAGTAAAATCGACCAAATTAAAAATTTCTGAACCGGTAGTTTTTTATTTGTCCACATGAACAACATCTATTGAAAGATGAATACTGGACACGTCTATTTCTGTCATAAGATACATCAAAACGAATGGAAATTTACCTAAAAATGTCCCAAAACGGATTTTCTCATCAAGATGGGGGTTTTCAGTCCAGAATAGTAAAAAGCGTTTGACTCCCAGTACCCAGATGCCCCCCAGTTTTTGCCTCCTGTCTGTGCGTTGTTGCTGCACGCTTTATCGACAGTGTTGCCTGAAACTGGGGCTGGTAATTCTGAACTATTCGCACAAAAATAGCGACTTTAATTGTCTGTACAGCGGTTCTTCGGAAGGGCTTATATGCGTCGCATCGAACTCTAACTTACGGGTTGCGATAATGGATAATTCGCTTAACTCCAATCAATGACACACCAAAAATGTTGATGCTTGCTCTTGATAGCGCTTGGTTCAAATGACAGAATGAACGTTACTAACCCGGTGTCTGTAAACTGTGAATCAGAACACACTAGCTACGTTCAGCAGTAGCACCCTTTCGGTGATTAACTGTCATGCCATTCGAATACATCACGAGGGCCAGAATACTGACAGGTTACCCTAGCTTAGACAGGAGAATTCGAGAGGCAGAGGTCGAACTCGAACCACGGACCTTCCAGGCAGTAAATTCGCGCTCTAACCACTCGGACCATCTTGCCCCAAAAATCGTTCAGCTCTAGCACAGTAAACTACACATGAATGGAGAGTAAGCACACATTTAGACTTTCGAGTGTTGTGCAAATCTGGTGATACTCCGAAGGCACAAACATCACTACGAGGAAAAAACAGGTAGCGCACTTTACCGTACTCCTTCTCCAGAAACCCGAAACAATACCGCTTTATTTCACCTACGTAAGAGGAAAAGATTTTGTGCTAAAGTTAGTCGAAATGTTTCCTTCTTCGAACGCATTTCGCTTTCATTTACCATCTGCCTGGAAACCGGATTATGCATTCAACACCATGGCGAGCTGTATTTCATATGTTCTTGGTGGATCACATGACATTAGTGTCTCCAGGGACCACTTTCGACAGCAAGCTGTCAATGTTGGCGTCATCAGATTATGATTTGCGTGGAATGTAAACGACAATTTCCGACCAGCCGTTTGCTACCATCATCCGATTCATCTCCACACACAAACATAATCTTGTGATAGGTTTTGATGTTTTACTTTTTCACAGTAATTTTATGGTCACATTCAGTTTTCCCTTGACCTTCAACTGATGAAGGAATCGCATATGGTTGGCCGAGCCACACCTTCAGTGGCCCCACGAATCACATGTGCACTTTGCGCGATCATTTCACACCAGGTCACATCCTCCCGCGCAATTATCACATGCCCTGTAAATCTCATGTTTTTTTTCAGAAAAACAATCGGTATTTTCGACTGGAAAGTGTACGTTCACTGATAATTAGTGGATATAATGATTTGCTTAACAATTTCACCAGCAAGTCGAAATTCTGAAGCATAATTGCCGCATAAATCCGCATAAATCTGCAAATTTTCCCACTAGATTGCACATGCTTATGGAGATGGATGTTTGATCTGTTGATTGTATGACGCATCAGAACTGGTAACCTGGTGACCGAGTTTCGTCTCTGATTTCTGTAATACTGAATGAAAGGTTGAGTTGATCTAGTGCAATTGCATTTGTTGAAAACGGGCGCGAGTGGAAAAATCTTATAGTTGTGTCACTAAGCGACTGGAGGAAAGTTAGTCGAGATATCTTATCAGTCAATCACCTTGATTACTGCCCTAGCATGTATCACCTGAAAAAAGGTAAATACTTATCAAGTCCAACTCGAAAGGTTAAAACATGGGAAAGGCGAAAGCAGTTCCGAAAAATTACTCGACGTTGTATAGCATATTTGCTATACTTAACTGAACATCATCGTGGCAAACAATACAACACAAGGAAGACGGTTTATCTAAATCCAATTTACTTGAAATGAAACAGCATTTGTTGACGAATGTGGTTCGTTCAGTTGCAACACCGGTCCGGTGCTTAGCCGCCATGCTACCAGGAGGAAGCACGAGGGCTGGGATACTGTCAGGTTGCTCGAGCCTAGACAGGAGAAGCCGAGACGCAGATGTCGGGTTCGAACCACGAACCTTCCGGTCAGCAAATTCGTGCTCTAACCACTTGAGCCATCTCACCTCAGCATTTGGTACATGCCGCGAATACAGATTTCAGGACACAGCCATAGTTTATAAGCCGGAGTTTTGAGCTAATGATGTAGATGGCTGTTAAATAGAGATTAATGACGAGGAAATCACGAAAGGATACGATCAACCGAATGCCTAGTGTGAATTAATTTCTACCGGCATTGGACTGGTAAGATGACTGTGGAACAAATAAAGCGTACGTCCAAAACGGAGACAGCGGAAAACGCAACGTCCACTACGGTATGTTTGTGTTACCTTGTTTACAAACCCGCTTAAACTTGCTGATTAGCAGGCTGATACACACATCAGGATATCCTGATTTGATGTGCAAAGTTCGCCGTGGTGTCTCAATTTCAATGTCTCTCAAAGAAGCAACTAAGAACGATCTGTATTGCGAAATGAGTGTAATAAGTGCCTGCTGATACTACCTTGTAAAACTGTGGGTGACAACATAAGAAAGCCAAATTCAACTGGTACACTTTTTGGTCGGCAAATGCTTCATGGGTTTTAACTCTTCTCTAATACAAGTCACCCATTTCATAACATGAAACATTGTATAAGTGTTGGCCACAGATTCTTGAAAGCTCAGATTTTAACAGCATATCTTGCACAGGCTTCCCCAATTTATTTTTTCACACGCAAGCGGCTGCATTTCGTCTTGCGAATCATGTCAAACTAGCCTTTCAGGATATAATTTTTCGCACACAATGGCATACCTCCTAATGACATCTGCTTATGTCGGTTAATCATTAATTGTCGCGCCACTAAAGTGAAAGTAAATACTACCGACACATATCCTCTCTACTGTTCGCTCGTAAGCTATTCCTCAATGTGAAATACTTCCGTATGAACGAGCGTCCTGCTGATGGCGTTCTGTATAGCGTCCTCCTGTAGTGTACCCTGACTGGTTACTGTATATCTACAGCGGGAGTACTGAAGAAAGTCTAGCGTCTTCAAATAGTTTGTTGGCAGTGCGTGTGCTCCGTGGACCCGCCTCAGAATTCATATATCGGACAGGCGAATCTAAAATATAAAAGCAGCACTGGAAGTAACCTCTTTAGGACGGAAACGTTTATTTAAACAGAGAAGTTGAGATTGTTTTGTATTGCGGATGCTTAAAAATGCTATATTTCCTGGTAGAGTTGGACGCAATTTATCAAGGTTTTTGGTTTTTCATCCACATTTTCCCCACTCGAGCAATATCACTCAGCTTCACCTCAAAAGGCCTACGCTGCTTTCAGTCAGTGAATTGAAGGAAGGTAGAATAATCACCCCCCATCTTGCGAATTTAACCTAGCGATCGTATGCACTGATGCAGAATTTCTCCCCAATTAATCATCCATTTGAGTTGACTTATTGTGGAGTCTTTTCCATTTTCGCTTTTTGTTTCTGAATACAAAAAACATTTCATCGACTTCTATGTCCTGAGCTATTTGAGTGCACCATCTAGGATGGATCACCTTGGATCGGACAAAAGTGGGCTAGTTTAACCTTAGCGGAGCGGTCAAAGACTTTGTATGCCGGCCACCACTTACATATGGTGTTCTTTAGCATTCGATTAGTTTCAAGCGTTGTAACTTGGACAATAGTGTGTCAAGTTGGTCCGCAAACAGTACATGAATGTAAACCCTCGATGATCACCAGTGTAAATTTTGACATGCAGGCACAAATATAACTTCTTGCTGTTGATCCATTAAGAGAGAACCACAAGTGATGAAATCCCGTCGCATTATATTTCCCGACAGCTTCAAACAACGCGAAGATTGCATATCTGACCAACCACAATAAGTACAGAAACATGATTTTGGAAGGCCAAGTTCCTGGTCAGCCACAAGCTACGGTGATGCCCAGTCTGGTGAGTGCCCACCACACCTTGTATTGCATATACACAGTGAACAACTTTTTCAGTTTTATTCGCCAAATCATGAGATTCCTGTTCCATGCCGCTTACTTCTAGCTTGTAAATTTCTGGATAGTTGAACTCAGTGTCTCACTATTAGGTCACCTAACATCGAGTAGAGAGTCAACATCTGGCATACGTGTGAATAAGGGCTAACCATGACACAACCTGACGACCGGCTAGATATCTTTTGCGACTTGCATTTTTAAAATCGGACTGCACTCGCAAGGTTTAGGATAGGCTTGACAGAACCAGAAAAAGACCTGAATAGAAGTGAATAGTTCTAAAGCGCTCGTTGCTCGACAAGCCAGTCAACACTTGTGACCGCGTGATGTATATCCCGTAGTGGAAGGATGAGCGGTGCCATATCCTGTCTAAGTGCGAGTCAATCACACAGCCGATCAGCCCCTCGTGGCCGAACGGTTAGCTGTACAAACTGCTGGTCGGGAGGTGGTGGGTGATCGAGACTCTCCGGAATCTCGTGAGATGCGCACTGCTGATGATGAGGGTGAAACAGCTGTACAGTACTTCTCGGCTTTTCAGCATAGATTGACTTCAATTACATCAAAAACTCTCCACAAAAATCCGAAATCTCCTCACACTACCATTAAACTCTATGATCTGTACTATAGACTTCTGAATTAAATCTTGTTTAATAACGATGTGGGTTGATCCTCATTTTTCTTTTGGGTTAAGAAATGTCTATTTACCTTCGCCCAGAAAACAGCTGGTGTGGTCATCTTGTGATAGGTTTTTACGGTGTGCTTGGCGCACCAAGTGGTAGTCGCTAACTTTGCTTGCAGACTTTCTGGGAGCTTGTGTTAGGGGAGGGTTGAAACTGACCAAATGCATTAGGCAGTATCCTGTCCCCGTTGGACGGTGTGCTGCACCAAGTGGTAGTCGCTAACTTTGCTTGCAGACTTTCTGGGAGCTTGTGTTAGGGGAGGGTTGAAACTGACCAAATGCATGCAGCAGTATCCTGTCCCCGTTGGGAGAATTTTGCTGCCCTCACCTCTCAAGGAAAAGTAGATTTTCTGGTTCGGTCGTTGGTCTGATCACTGGGCAGTTTGGTTGTAGATGTTTCATCACCAGCCGAGATGACAATATCAGTGCGTTGTGAGTACTTCCAGAGTGTCGTCGGCCCAGCCCCATCCCGGACTCATTTACTCACTCGGTTGACGGTGACAGCAATCTACCACGATGTTATATATA